TTTACTTTAAACTTTAATAATTAATATCAGTCATGCAACAGTCAGCGTTTCTTAACCTATCAAATATTAATGTCAGACATAAAAACACTGCATTAAGCTTTATTGTTTGTGGTTTGTTTAGACTCAGCAGAATAACCAGACACATAATTAACGCTAACAGAGCTGTGGTACTTTTTGATTTTTAAGGCTACACAATAGATTTGCTGTTTTCAGAGTCATAAAAGTGAGATGAAGAACAAAAGCTGCTGCGCCCCTGTGTTTCCCCCTCGATGACACGCGTCTAGCCTCGGGTGCGTCTGCTGCTTAAAACACAGATTTCGGTTGCTCTACAGATGTATCAGTGCAGCCAGATAACTCGCTCGCTACAGAGACACCATTGTCCCAGAGTGAAACCAAAATCCTCCACCTTGCCAGCAGCTCCCTTAAAAAAATCTCTACCACTCAGACGTGGTGAAGTTTATCAAAGCTGAGAAGGAGGGTGACGAGAAATGATCCTCCAGCTCCCACGGCCTAAAACCAGAAAACCATATTTTCAACAATGGCTACAGCAGATGAAAGTCTGGGAAGGTCGTCAGAGCACCATTGGGCCTCGACACCAGCAGCGGTAGAACCAGGGCCACTCCGGACCCTAAAACGCAGACTAGAGATTCTAGGATTACAAAGGATCACAACCTATTTTTCACTACCGACGTCCATCTAAGCTCGGAGAGTGGGCTTTAATGAAAAGAAAAGGCACGGCTTTTTTCTGAAAGTGATGGAAAAAAAAGATGACTGATGAGGGAGGCTGACTTGTTAGATCCCAACGCAACACAGAGGGAAAAGCACTTACTCAGAACACAGAAAATGCACTGCAGGAGTGAAATTTTGTCATGATTCAGCTCAGGTTTTGCAGGTGTGCAAGCACATTTAAACTCAGCGAGGACGGAGTCAGACTTCACCGATAAATTATCTTCTAATCTCATTCTGTCCAGACCTTAAATTACAATTAACTCTGAAAAAAAGCATATTGATGTAAGCGGGTTATCCTGTGCCCAGTGTGATCTGGGAAGCATCGCACAGGGGATTAAGGATTAAGCCGTCAACATGTCCCCGAGATTAGTTTGATCTTTCACAGGTTAACTCATGGACCAGAGACAGGTTCGCATCATAGCAGCATTTTTAAAATATGCAAAAGTTTATAAAAATTTCAGGGACAATAAAAACTTTAACCATCAAATCTCTGGTACGAATCCAGTCACACGGACAGTTTCCAATTGATTCAGATACCATTTAGCATTTCCATCTGGGAAATAAATCAGCGCAGTTATTGCTCGTGGTTGTGGGCATTATTTACAATCTCTCTACACATGATGACAGCTAATAAAATGTGCATGCCAGCAGACAGGACAAAGAGCTTCTCTATTATTCAGCGAGTCCTGTCGGACTCCCACAGGAGCCATCGCACCTTCCCAGGCTGTCGCTGAGCGGAGGACTGACAGTAGGGCTTCCTGTGGGAGAGGCTGCACTTATCAAAACTCAAATTCATTTCCAAATGTCGTCACTATGACAGGAATGCAACTCGAGGGCGGCTGATTGATGGAGCGTAATGACCACGTGCTTGTTTATTTCCAATATGCGACTATTACCTCAGACAAAGAGGTTCTGTTCACGCCCCTGTCTATTTGCTTGATTGTTTGTCAGCAGGAAACTAACAGAATGGATTTCCATGAAACTTTGTGGAAAGATGGGAAACGGGGCCAAGAGAACAATTACAGATGGGGCAGATCCAGGGACAGATGCAGGAATTTTTGTATCACTTTCTTAAGAAAGACCTTTTTCGACATTTTCACCAATTTCCTAAGGAATGATTCAAACAAATGAGACATATTTTATGAGTGTGTGTGATTTGGTGCGGATCTAACTTCTTTCAGCCGCTGCCTGGTGTTACATTTTGGTGCAGATCCAGGAAATGTTTTATCACCTTCTTTAACATTAGGAGATAGGCCCGTGGTGGACATATAGTGCTGTACGTCCCATTCTAAAGTTGTTTCAAAAAGTTTGTTAGCCAGACTTGCCATAACTTACTTCTCCCTCATTGCTCACGTTTTCGGTTTTGGATAGGCTAAGAAACACAGAATTGATATACATATACATATATCTACTAGAATGGCACATACATAATAACACACATATAGATATGACTTCCCTAAATATGCCTGATTTCTTTCATGTAGATCCAAGAATTATTCCCTTGGAAATCTGTGAGAAAGTTAAAAATCACCTTGTATCTCACAATGTTGAAGAAAGTGATAAAAAAAATTCTCGAATGTGGCTATAGGTTGCTATGCTCTGACAAATGAGGTGTTAATTGATGATTGAAGAGAAAATAAAGAATTTGTGTGTTTGTAAATGTCTGTGATAAAGTGAGCATGAAGTGTTAATGTGACTGAGGCTCTCTCTCTCTCTCTCTCTCTCCATCCCTCCCAGCTCATTGATCCGTTTTTGTTGAAATTCTTGTAACATGGAACAAAGATTTATCTTTTTCCATCCCTGGTCTCTGTCTATTTCCAGGTTTTCTCTACTTGACAATCTTTCGGCCACTTCCACGTGTAAACAGCTGAGCAGATGTTCTCACTTGGCTCCTAGCAACACAAACACTTTCAGGTCAAACAGACTTCGCTGAATTAGATCGAACGGTACCATACCATACGTCTCCCGGATTGGAGATTTTAAAATAGGTCGAAGGATTACATGCTCCTTTGTGGGCTGAGGAAATTATCCTTCATTTTAAGGCTCATAAAAAAAAACCCTTTGAAACCCCTTTGGATTATCTCAGAAATGCTTTGCCACCAAGTTTAGAACAAGACTGTATTTTGTCTTGTTTTGACACCTTGTTTTTACTGGACAGAGACTTTGGATTACAGCTCATTTTTTGATGGCACATTGAAAAAAATCTGTTCTTACATCTATATTTAGGTAGATTTAAATAGACCTGCAACAGCACGTCTGTAATCTTTTATTATCCTGCCAGACAGGGAAATAACATCTCAGTTTTTTTAAATAAAAAGCAGATACATTTACAAGTATTGTTTTTTTGTCTTGTTACCTTGAATTAAATAGGAGATTTCTCTGGATTTGGACATTGCTGGAAACATTTTGGATAATGTAAATACACAATTCAACTCATTTTTCAAGTGTTACATATTTTATCTTTAGTTCTGTTTATCCTTTTGTATTTGATCTTTTTTGTCTTTTGAAAGTTTGGAGGTTTTGTGATTATGGGAAGTAACATGAGTTTGACATCTTGTGGATACTATGAGCTAAAAAACACGTTGTGCCACAAAGAAACATCTGTCTCAGCCTCTGGCCAAAAACAAAAAAACAACAACAACTAAACCTGTCGGACCAGATGGTGGACCTTGCATTTTGCTGGAAATTGAATCAGTCTCAAAAAATGAAGTAATTAAACACAACTGCACTGTGTAACAAACTTTCATTACAGCTGCTCATTTCCAAAATTCTCTGGACTTAGAAAAATTCCCATAATCCTTATTTACTGTGGGAGACCTGCTGCTGCTGTGCTCCGTCTGGTTTGTTTAGAAGCCCAGAAATATTTAGGGACTCTTGTCTTTTTTGGCTCACAAACACTCTTGATTTGTTATGGTCCTGTGAAAACCAGCACTCGTGGTTACTTGTTGGAGCGGACAGGAAAGATGCAACTTTCCCGTGCGCCGCTGGCGACAAACACACACACTCTGCTTATCTGCTTATATGGAGGAACAAGAGAACAGCGAGTGGACACTGATGATTCATGAGAAGAGGAAGTAGAAAATCATTAGGGACTGAAGAGATGTGGTCACTTTCTCTGCTGAAATCTGGGCTGAATGAAGTGTGATTTACTCTGATGTACATGTGGAGCCAGTTTAAATTGTTTTCATCTTTTAATCTCACAAAATTTAATTTATCCACTGGGATGCAGGGTGTTTCCTCAGATATTAAGATGGCTGTATAGTGAGCTTTCCAGTCAGAGACCCTGAAATCTCAGCTGCTATAAGAGTGAAATTGAAGTAACAGTCAAAACACTGCTGTGCCATTAAAATAAGAGTTGTTTGACCTTAACGTCAGGGCCGAAAGAAAACTCTAATCCAAGCAAAAAGCAAGAGAATCCATGTTCCCTGTTCCTTCGTCCTCAGCAGCTTGTTTTCATACTTTCAGTGCAGACGCTCTGCTCTCTATCATCTGTACGAGTCCAAGAATGAAGGGCCTGTCCTCACATTTTCATCTAATTTCCTTTGAGGACCAGATGCACCCTGCAGCATCTCATCATGTCAGAGGATGCTCAGAGTGCACGGAAACATAAATACATCAGTGGGAAGAGCTGCAAAACTGAATCACTATGTGAAAATGTGGTGATATCAGTTATGGATGTGAGGTTGCGAGGATGAGAAAAAGTTACCTGTGTACTTTTAGTGTGTTTGAAGGTGAGAGCATGGCCCAGTTTTACTTCTATTTCTCAGGTCAGAGCACGAAAACACGCATTTGGGGGTTAAAAGAAAACTTACAGACAAGAAAGACGAAAGAAATTGCGCAATCTTGACTTCCTCCCTGCATCATCATCACCACCATCATCATCATCATCATCAACGTGGTGCAAATTTGAGTCAATACCTGAATCATCGTGGATGTGGTACAGATGCGTATTTGCGCATTCCACCAATTGGCTAATTTAACATCCCCCCCCCCAAACGCGCGTCTGTGTGTGAATTGTGTGTGAGTCATGTGCGTAAAACTTCGCTGGAGCCTCTGTGGCTTTTTTTTTTAACCAGGTCACAGCGAGACTGTGAGAAACTTTTCTCCCATGCCGGGGATCGAGTTTCCCTGCGTTTCTGTTTTTAAGAGAGTGACTGTGATTTCTGTGATTGTATGTAAGGTGTGCCGGGACTGTTCCAAGAGGAAAGCGAAAGTCTTGTCCCCACTACGACCCACAGCCACGTACATGTCGTAATGTCTCGCTGACATACCTTTCTTTTCCGCCAGCACGCAGCTGCCCAGGCACAGCACAGAGGTGAGACTGATCCACTTCATTAAACAGCTTTCCATCGTGTTGTCTTTTACTCTGAAGCTCCCGCTGAGAAGGTGTCACTTCATGTCGACCGCACGAGATATTCCGCTTTATCGCAACTTCGCAATTTCCAAGAGCCTCTTGGTTCCTGAGTGAGAGAGTCTTTCTCCTGCTGTGGGAAAGTCAAACTTTGACTGCTCCTCCTCCTCAGAGATCTGCTGCAGCTCCGGCTCCCACTACTGCCTGCTCTGACGTCAGCAGGAGGGAGGACAGATGTGCCTCTCAGCGAACAGGTAGAGAGATAAAAAATCATAGTATAGGTATACTGTTGTATGGTACTACTACTAATAACAACAATAAGAATAATCATATAGATAATAACAATAATATCAATAACACTTGTTAGTACAGTTACTATTATTGTTATTATTTTTATTATTTTCAAGAGCTACAAATGAGGAAAGGTTTGTATTAAATTGGACAATTGGTCAACATATTACCACTACTACTACTACTAGTAGTACTACTACTACTAGTACTACTACCACTAATAATAATAATAATAATAATAATGCAGCTCAATAGTATCGAAGGAGAAAAAGTTTGTATTAAATTGGAAAATTTAACAACATATTACTGCTACTACTACTACTAGTACTAATATTATTAATAATGAGGATGATAATAATGAAGCTCAATAGCAACAAAGGAGGGAAATCATCATATACTCTGTTGTATGGTAAATCATGAACTCAAGGACTCAATCAGCCAAAGCAATCACCCTGAACTTTATATTAAGAATTTAATATTTAGCTTTTAATTGCCACACAAACACACATCAACTTTTATGTAAACGATACAGCACTTTGTATTTTTTTCTCTCTTTTATTCCATGTAATGTATCTTCAGTTTTGCAGTGAATGCAGAACTAAGTTAATCCATGCTTCACGCTGAAATGCGTGATATGTGACACAGAACATCAGGTACAGGAAGAAAGTTTAAAAAAAAAGCAGAAACACCTAATAACAAAGAAATGCACGTTGGCAATAATTATAACAAGATATACATTTCACATCAGGCAATATAGATCATTACTATGATAAATGTCACATCAAGTTTTCTTATTCTTCTTAGTCTCCTCTTTAAAGGCAGAGAATGACAAACATTTGCAAAACATTTTACAAATCTGATTCTTATGTGTTCAGCGTCTTCTCTCTACTTCCACTACTGATGGTCGTATTTTTCTGCTTACTAACTGGGCCTATACTGGATTGTTAAGGCTGAATTTTGTGAGTAAGAAAACACTTTTCCTGTAATCAGAGAGTTTGATAAAATCGGTTTAACAGATGCTTCTCTTTTTGCCTTTAACTATAGGAAAATACATTATTAAATATCTTTCTGGCAAGAACGGTTGGCTACATTTTAAATGTAATGGCTCCATTCTATTTAGTTCTCCCAGTAAGCCACTCAAATAACTGAACGTGCACAATCCCAGAACCCTGGACCTGACATACATAAATTGACCAAAGTTATTATTAACACGTCTTCTGGTGGTAATGAGTTGCCACTTTGGCCATAGCCTGAAGAAACAGCCCTGAAATGTTTTATTTGGGTAAAATCATCACAAATAATCTGAGATAAAGTTTAAAAATCATAGTAATTACCCAAAATCTGATGTAAGTGTCCCTCTAGGTAGAGGCCAATGATGAGAACTCTTCAAACATTTTAAAGGCTTCATTTAATATGTCCCAGTAAAAAAGAGTCAACATAATGACTTCTCTGTTGTTTCGTTGTTGATGTGGGTGCATATGAAAGACAGCCCTGGTATCAGTGTCATACAGGGGTTGAATGGACAATACGTCTAGACTGTTGACAGAGCGTGTGTCTGATCTCAGCCAAGTCTAATTGGATGTCAAGCTGCTTAAATGTGTTTGTTGTTGTGCACAGATCAGACTCTATGGGGACAGGAGTGATAGAAATCATTTTTCACACTGGTGTTTATTTCATTACCGCGGCTTAATGGCTCAGCAAATCGTCTTTGGTTGTTCTGTCAGAGGAAGGGGATATTGTGTTGGGCGAAATTATGACCGTCCTCTTCGAGTAGTTATTACCTAATGTGGGGCTAACATTTCACATGAGAACGCACAGCAGCAAGACAGTTCCAGTGCAATGTGGATGTGATGCAACGGTCATTGGGACACCGGCTTCTGCTGTTTGAAAGGATGGTTCACCCTAAAATGAAAATTCACTCATTATCTTCTCACCGCTTTTTTCCGATGGTGGGGTGGGTGAAGTGTTTGAGTCCACAAAACAGGAGGATATCAGAGCATTTAGGCTAAACACATTTAACAAATTACACTGCTTCAAGTCAAATTTGAATGTCAGGGCTGACGGACCCTTGGATGAAACCACAGGAGCAGTATGGAGGCATTTTATTTATTCTATATTTAAGAGTTAGTCACCATGTACTTCAATTGAATTGGATTTGGCTGCAATGCTGTTTACCCATGAAACTCCAAAAGGCATAGTGGGAGTAGATAATGAGTGAATTTTCATTTTTGGGTGAACTATCCCTTTAAGTACATCAGGGGGTTAAGTGATGCAGATCCATTACCACAAGGCTCCACCCTTTTAAATCGTCCAAGTCTCATAAAGAGAATCAACAGTGGTCAAATGTTGCAGCTTTAATTTCAGTTGGAAGCAGATCTTAGTTACACCTCTGGGTCATGTGTTTGAATTCGACTCAGGGATTGGTTTTAAATGTGTTGAAACCTAAGTTGACCACACTCTGAACCACAGTAGAGGCTCATTAAAGGGTGAAAAAGAAAGAAGTTGCTCTGGCTTTTCACCGGCGACCGATTTCTACACCACTGACCAACGTCTCCATTATGAAATGTTCCACAGTGAAACAGAGACAAGTCCCGGTTGTTTCAGGGTTTCATAACACCACCCCTGCCGTCCTGAGACTATCTGTGTTTCGCAGAGAGAGCCTCACACGACCTCTGTCTGTCAGCCAAGCACAAACGCTAAACAAACACAGAATAATGGCCGGGCCACTGGGAATTCAAAAGAGAGAGTATACGAAGAAGCAAAGAAAGAAGCAGAGAGAGGGAGGAAGAAAGTGTGTGAAGGAGTGAGAGGAGAGATGACAGCTGCTGGCTGGCAAAGTAAACACATATCGCACCCATTCTCGTTTCATCTTCAGAGATGATGGTCTGTATTTATATAGCACTCTCTAGTCTTCTAAGACCACTGTTTAAAAAGCACCTTGCAGTACAGTTCAGTATCTTGCCCAAGGACACTTCAACACACACAATGGAGGAGACCGGGATGGAACCACTGACCTTCAGTCAAAAAGACAACCTGCTCTACCTCCTGAGTCACAGTTGTCTGTAACAATGATGGCTCATATTAGTATGTTTCCATAAATGCAGCACATATCTGAGACATACGTTCTGTCAGGTAAAGCCAAGCAATATAAGACACAACTTCTAAGAATGCTTGATTAACCAGTGGAAGCACGAGGAGTCTTATTAGGTGGTTCAGTGAGGCGTAAAGGTTGTGTGAACGTGAGGGGAGATGAGTTGTTATCCTGAAGGTCTGAAGTCTGATCTGCATGACAGAGCCCAGATGGACCAACCCCCACCCCTTCATTATGATCTCCCTGTCATGCACTGCATATGGAGCATCTATATAGCAAGGAGGAAACCGTATGGGATCATATTGGATAACCGGTGACTGGAAGGCACAGCATCTGCTGCTTCCACCCAAACAGACATCACACTAGTTGTGTTTTTCCAAGAATTAATTTGCCAAAAACAACACCAGTGAAGGTGATTAGTGGAGCTGAAACACTTGAATTGATTACTAACTGGGAAATGTAATAAAGAAAATACTTTAATTAATAGTGTGATTCTTTAAGCAAGCATATTGAATGATTTAGAATGATGTATTATATGAAGACATTTCAAAGATCCATGTATAATATTCAGAAATGTAACTTCAGTTTTGTACTAACACTGCTCCCTGTGAATCTCTATTCACTATTTTAGGCTGTCAGAGCTGCCATGTTGCTGGCATATAATATCAGACCTAGATTATATTTGACTGAATCCATGAGAGCTTTATTAATAGCTTTGTAAATCCTGTTTTCAGCAGTATAGTTGAAAAGCCTCAGGCATTCAGAACAAATTGTCAAGTACCAATTAATTAGGTTTAATTAGAGAAGTCAGTGAGATTATATTGTATCTCACCATCTGCCCCGCGAAACTTCCTAAAGCCCAACTGAAATAATAACGGTAAATATTTGAATACAGGAGAGGATTGTTGTTTTGTAATTCATTCGTCTCGCACTTCTGTGTTTTGCCATTTCCCGATGAGGCCTTTGGTCTTTGGCTCCGATCCACGTTCACTTGTTGGAGCATGTGGTCTCCATGGAAGCCCTGATGAGTTACACAGTAAACACCCTCAAAGTAAATGAATGAACCTGTTTCAATAGAAATCCCTGTCTCACCACCTCAACCAGTCACATCCTGTTTCAAAACATGAAACACCTTGTTCACAGTTGAGTAATGTGTGTGATTGCATGAGGGTTCTGTGTGTGTTCGCATTTCAAAGGTGTAGAATGCCGCTGTGCATGATTTTGTTGCACACATCAATGAACGAGTTCTTCTAAGAGCCTCAATAGAATAATAAGAGAAAAAAAATCAATGGATGAGTGAAATTTTTAATGAAATGCAAATAAAAACAGCAGCAGTGTTGTCATTACTGTCACCTCACTGCAAACAGGTTCTTGGTTCTCAGCCAGGGTCCTTCTGTGTGAGTTTGGTTTTCTCTGTGTACTCTGTCTTCCTTATACAGTCAAGGACCTGAAGATTAGGGTTTGGTCAATTAGAGACGGTTTATTGACTGTAGGTGTGAATTATGAACTATAAATACTGTAGATATAAATAAACTATAATACATGGATGAATGAAAACCAAAATAAGGGAACAGGTTTGTAACGTACAGCATACACATAAACACTTACTGTATATATACAAACACACTGATGTTTACAGTCAAAATGTTGGCAAAGTGGACTTTCAGAAGAGATTTAAAATTTAGATTTGGCATTTGACTTGTTATTGATGGTCTGATATTACAGATAAAAGAGCAAACTTGAGGGTTTAACCTTTCTCCAGTGATGGAGGAAGTACTCTGACCTTTACTCAATAAATAATATTAGCAACATCACAGTGTGGATATTATATCTCAGACATATACAAAAATATTGTAGCAAAATATAAAATATAGAAAAATACAAAATATAAACCAAAATAAGTGTGTCCGATTCAGAATGATGTATTATTATATCACTTGCCTGTGTTAAAACTATGCTTCAAGAAGCATCTGTGAAATATAAAACAGTAGAAAATCAAATCCTTGAGTAAAGTACAAGTACCTCAAAATGACACTGACAACTTGAGTAAATGTTCTTTTCTTACTTTTAACTGTTGACTCTCCTTGAGTGTTTCTGGGTTTTTAAAGAAACATTATTGATTCTGCTTTGTTTGTCTGTCAGGCGTTGCTGTTTGGTCTGTGGACAAAGATTTAAGTGCAGGCTTTTTGTGACGTTCAATCCCTCATCAGGAGAGTTCAGCTTGATGTTGTCAAAGCAACATTTCTGCTCATCGCTACAGTCATTTTAGGGGGGCATCATGGGGCTTTGATTACTAGCGTTCCACCCCAGTGGTTTGGTGCTGACTGTGCTACAGTCGGGTCAGAGGCCTGCATTCCCAAAGCTGGAGCCATTGTTCTCTTCCTGTAAACGGGGCGCCCGCTCTCATTCAAATCGGTGAAGAGAAGGAGAAACTCCAAAACCACAAATCTGTCAGCTTAGCAGATGAGATTTATTCCAAATCTCTCTCCTACAAGTGACATCATGGATGTAATCATCTAAAATGTTGATTTCTCTGCAGGGGGGCCTTGGATTTCAGATTCAGAGTCATGAGTCACTGCCCCTGGAGGAGACAGTAGAGATGGCTGCTTGTCCACTGACAGAGAGCCACAGGATGGACCCAGGACACACTGGACAAGTCAAATCTCACACACTACTCCTCACACAGTTTCCTTTGTGCCTCCTCAGATTGAACAGATGAATGGTTTAATAATGGAAGGATGGATGGCGAATGTTCTCTTTACCATCTATTCATGATGTATTTCACCCAGCTGCACCCTGAAGACACACTCCGGAGCACAAATCACCCAAACCTCTCTGCCCTGAATCCAGGACCATATGTAAACATATGGTCCTGGACAAAGAGGAGGTTTCATTATGGATGCTGCGCTGAGCGCCACCTTCACTTCTCTCCTTATGCTCCTTTCTGCCTGTCACACTAAATCCAACTCGGATCAATTCCTCAGCTCATTAGTTCATGTGGGGTGGATCTGCTGTGTCCTCAGAGGTTTGGGAGCAAATAGCTGAGGGTCACTTCTCCTCAGTGAAACAGCGCCATCTTGTGGCCTGTTTTCCTCCGGGCAGGTTGTTGTTAGCAGCTTGAATCTGGGACGATGAGGAGATGTTAGAGGTCTAAATGTCTTTGGAAGGTGTCAGGCCATGTGTGTTGGCCACAGGGGTATTTTCGAATAACGTAAACATGATTAAATGAATCCACCTCTTATGCAATCTTATTTTACGGCACCTCTCTACATGTCCAAGGACACCTTACAATAAATGATACATAAACACGTGACTAATTGAAGTAAAACCAAAAGATCAGGAGACACAAACACAGACAATATCACATCATGATATAGTGATTGAGCAGAAACAGAATTCCCACATGGCTAAATAGTTTGTTCCCAGATTTGGCCCACACCACACAGTCATCCGCCTCACATACCACATGGAATATACTTTGGCCGTCTGCTGCTGCTTGCCAGAGCTGGGCCACAGGTAAGCCATAGCAATACTGCATTTAGGCCAAAGGTGCCAAAGGTGGCCCAGACTTGTTTTGTGCTATTTGGGCCATGTTCACTATGGGGCTACAACTTGCTTACAGAGCACCGCATGCCTGCCAAAAGAGGCCCACTTTTGTTTTGGGATATTTGAGCCACATCTGCTGTTTTACAAGTGGGCCACAAAAAGGCCAGAAGTGCCACATCATTGCCTGAAGTGGCCCACATCCCTATGCTGGCTGAATTATTGTTGTGCATGCTTTATTTAGTTATTACACATAATAATTTTCTTTCTTATATGTTATCTCATATCTTCATCAGCACATGACTGCAGGCTGCATCCGTCTATTATCTGGGCCCATCAGGCCTTTGTTTACTATTCTTGGAATTTCAGGTCATTCTATCTGACCGTGCATGTGCGGCTTCAAATTTCCACAGAGCCGCGGGCTTTGCAGAGTAAAAGTCAAACGTGCACAGGCAGCTCTGGAGGACGATGCTGCTCCATCTCTCGTGCACTGTGCACGGCGGCGCTCAGGATGCTGCGCTGTGAGAGGAATCAAAGCGCAGGCGTGGAGTCGGGAGGGAGCCTCTATCTTGCGCAGACCTGGTACTGTACATGGCCATTGATGCTGCTGGATGGATGTAGCCCCTGATGTAAATAAGGATGGCGAGGCCAGCGCGTCTAACGTGCCGCGTTATCTCTGCTTGACATCGGAACATTTCACGCCGTCGGGATTTATTTTTTTGGAAGAAAAACAAAACGCGCGGTGCTTTTCTTTTTATTCCGTCTGAATCTGCCTTGACAGCTCGCCCGATGGTTTTCGTTTGACACAAGAGCCAAGAGCAGACGGGCGGCTTCTCCTCATAAACACTCGGGAAAAACGGGTCATTATGACCTTAGTATCCCCCAGTAAAAGAAAACCATCGGATTGCTTTTACGCGGCAGCATTCTGCTTGCTTTCCTCGCTTTGGATTCCGGGCGCCGTGTCCGGAGAGGAGGATCACCACTTCAGCGTTGAGGTAAGATAAATGGCCTTCCCTTCCCTCCCGTGCTCCATCACAAATGACCGAGCTCCATCTCCTGCACATCATCTGCCTGAGCGAGAAAAACACACACACACACGGCCTCTCCACGTCTAATCCGTGGGCACAAACGCCATAAAGCACAACATGGAGACACGGTGAGCTCGCACATCTCTTATATGTAGGGTGCAATGAAACAGAAGGATGCTCATCTGAGGTTATTACACTGCGGTGCATGAGCTGAGCTGAGAGCCAGCTGCACATTTGGGATAACACAGACCCTCAGTGTGTATATACAACATTGTGCAGCCATGGCTTGACATAGTTTAGTGACAAGCCAGCATCAAGTCTGACATGCTGTGGCAGCATCATAGTGTTGGAGGAGATTTAGCATTGACACAGACAAGTTGCATAATAGGATTTTCTGTTTTTGTGCACCTTATTAGTTGATTCCACCCTCACAGGCTCCCCTCCCTCCAGCTTGACAAAATTAAATGCTGAGGCCGACAATCCCAAACACACACACTCACAAATGCATCATTATTTAATTTTCTGGCTCACAGAAATCAACCACTGAGGTTTGTGTCTTTGAACAAACAAACAGGAAACACACACCCACACGATAGAGAGAAAAAAGGAGGGAGTAAACAAGGCGTTTAGCTCAGCAGAGAGAGAGGAAGAGGCAGAAAGGGGGGAGGGATGGACAGAGGAGACAGCTAGTCAGATTAGCTGGAGCATCTCTCATAGTAGTGTGATGGGGAAGCAGCTGCTTGGCGTGTGCACAGCTGCGTGGAAGCGTTGGCACCTTGTGGCCCCTCAGCATCAGGATCGAGTGCTGGCAGTGACCCACGGACGGCGCTCCGTCTCACCCCCTCGCCTCAGCATCAAACTGCACTCTGGCTTTGGAGGGCGAGAGGAGGCAGGGCCGTGAGTCCTGCACATGTCCACTGATTGGCAGCCGCAAGACACAAACTCTGACTAAGGTCACTCGGAGGGATTCAAATGCAAATCTAATTTAAACCTGGAGCGCTGCAGGAAAGACGATTCGAGCCAACAACAAATTATTCCCATGCAATTTCTACATAAAATATCTCTGTCTCAGTTCTTGTAATAATGAAAAAGTATTGTAGCGATGGTTTGACACCTCACAGCCTCTTGTGAGCTGCAGTATGAATTATGTATTGGCATATACTCATATTGATTTTCATTCTGGGATTGGCAGAGGACTGGAGGTTAAAGAAGCAGGTTTGTGGCTGGAATCTCGCCAGCCACCCTGGATTCACCACTTACTGGAGAAGGGAGGCAAAGTAACAAACAATACTTTGTCCTAATTACCCAGCTATGGTTGTGGTGCCCTTGAGCAAGGTACCCCTGTGGAGGAGGAAGGTCTGTGGTGTGTGTTTGCCACCCAGCAATAAGCACAGATATAAGAATAGACTGAAATGGTTACATGTGGGACCAAAGCTTATTAAAACACAAAATGATGGAGATTGAAGATCATATCTGCAACTAATAATAAGAAGGAGAAGATTTTCTTTTATATCTTTTTTAAGTCTTAAAATAGCCACAGTATAAAGGCCCTAATCCTTTCCCTTCTTCCCTCCACTAGGGATGGCTACAGAGGTATGGCTACCTTCCCCGCACAGAACCGGGAATGTCTGTCCTACGCTCGGCACAAACCTTGCACTCAGCCATCGCTGCCATGCAGCGTGTCTATGGTCTCAATGTCACAGGGACACTGGATGAGAAAACCAAGGAGTGAGTACACACACACACACACATACACACACACACACACACGTGCCATGGTCGTGCATGTACAAAACACAAGCTGAGATGCACATGCACTTCCACCAGGCTGCTGATGTTACATTAATGCAAATGCTCCACTCGTTCATCTAAAATGCAGAAGGAATGGCCATCAATATTTCAGTGAATTAGTGACGAGCAGAAACAGAGATGTTCATTTCACCCCCCATCACCTCGCCTGAAACGACCTCGGGTGAAGGTTTTTAACACTTCTCCTTCTTCTCATTTTGCATGATGATGCAGTGATATCACGCTGAGGTGAGGATTCATGTTTCGCCTCTGTATTGTGTGTGTTTTGTGAGTGTTTCTGTGACAATCTGATGTGAAATGAGTGAGATGCTACTTGGTAGTTTAGCAGTATTTTATATACACAACACTTCCTTATCCTGCTGCTGTGAGTATCTGGTACCTGTCAGGAAGAGAACTACTCAGTGTCTCACAATGCTTTTTGTTGTCTCGTGATGATGTTTACCCTCCAACTTATACACAGCAAACATCAGTTCTCTTCTCTCCTCTCCTCTCCTCTTCTCATCTTCTCTAAGTTGGATGCAAAAGCCTCGCTGTGGAGTTCCGGACAAAATCAAAAGTGCTTCGAGGTCGCGTTCGCGGCGGTATGCACTGACAGGACAGAAGTGGCAGCGTACACACATCACCTACAGGTGAGAAGACAGTGGAGGCAGTTGTCACGGCGACCATTGAGTTAGGCTGTGCCAGTGTTAATTTTCTCAGCTCTCTCTTTCAGTCTCTCTCTCACTCTCACACTCTCTCTCTCTCTCACTCTCTCTCTCTCTCTCTCTCTCCTCTTTAAACACCTGGGATCACATGCCTCCTTGTGTTGTCATAGAGACTGCACAGATACGTCACATATGTGGGGGCATGCACACAAAAATAAAGTTACAATCACACATCCAGAAACACATAGATTAACACATAATTCTGCCAATGTTTATTCTCCGGTGTATAAATAGCTCACTGGCAAAATGAAAAACATTATCTCAAGACTTGAAATCATTCTTCCTTTTTCATAGAACAAAACAAACAATTTCAGCTGAGAGGCATAGAGATTGAAGGATTTTCTCCCAACTAATATGAAATTGCTTGAAAATCCTGAGTGTAAATTGTTCGTAATCTCAGCAGAAAAATTCAAACTCTCATCTTATCTTGCCTGATTAAGCTGCGGCTTTTAATGGGTTCTGAGGAGAACCGATAAACGGGTCTGTGGCACAGCTGCAAATTGACAGGTTACAGCAGAAACAGACGATAACACTGTCAATTTATTCAAATCCTTCCTTCCTCCCTGAATTTGAATTGACGAGCCACCTTTCCTAATGGAATGTCAATCAGTGCTGAGCCGGGGCTGCTGCTGACTGCACTTTATTCATGAAAATGAGTGCAGAGGGAGGGAGAAGATTTCCCATTCCTCTCTGCCTGCCAGCGGCTGATAACGACTGCCGTGTTAAAAAGTTCAACGAAAGCTGCCGGGCTTGAAATAGTTGTGTCAAGTGCAACTTGTTTTCAGCGTCTCCTCATTTTGAAAATGTTCACTTGAAATTAATGGGATCTCAAAAGGCAGGGTTGACGCAGTATGTATTTTACTTCCTCTTCACTTGAACGTTCTGCACCATTTACAGGACATTATGTAAACTACAGCTTGCAAGGCGTTTCTATTCTGTGTGAGATAGCTGTTTTTACCTGTTTTTCTTTCTGCAGCATTAAAAATGTCACGCCGAAGGTGGGCGCCCGGGAGACTCATGATGCTATACGGCGGGCGTTTGACGTCTGGCAGGGTGTGACTCCCTTACGATTTGAGGCCGTTCCATACAGTGCCCTGGAGACTGGCAGGCGTGACGTGGACATCACCATCATCTTCGCTTCGGGTTTTCACGGTGACAGCTCACCCTTCGACGGGGAGGGGGGATTCCTCGCACACGCCTATTTCCCCGGACCAGGCATCGGAGGGGACACACACTTTGACTCAGACGAGCCCTGGACCCTGGGGAACCCCAACCATGATGGTAAGTGAAAGAAATGGATGTAGACCTCTTTGTATGCAGTCTTTGGTTTCAAACCTGAATCAGGAGAGAAAGAACATGGTGGTGGTGTAAAGTAAGACAGAGTGACAAAGAACGAAGAACAGCGAGAGAAACCACAACAGTAAAGGAGGAGATAAAGATAAGGGAAAAGACAAGGAAGAAGAAATAGAGAGGTTGTTAAATGCTGAATGTTGACAGTGACGTAAAACAGTCAAGGGTTTGGAAAAAGTGCGGAAAGCACAGAGAAACAGAAAAACAGATCCTTCATCAAGAAACTAAGATACAGACTGACGTTAACCATGTAATAAAAACAAACAGATGGCCGGGCAGGAGGGCAAAGGGACGAAGATGGTGTCACGGTGCATGAGCCACGTTTAAGCACGAACCAAAAAATGCAGAGATGTCTTTGATGTTCTGTAAAGACGCATCACCCCATCTGTCAGGATATTTATCTTTTCTTCCCCCTGTGTAATAAGCTCTTCAGATGACAGGATAGAAAGCCCTGCTATTTTAAGACAGTGGGTGCTGGCACATGATTATGGCTATTCTGTTTTTAGTGAATTTGATGTAGCTCAGTGGTACCTTTCAAAAGAGGCCTGCATGAATCTAGCAGATAAACATCCATATCCATTATTCAACACAGTAGATAACTAGAAATGTTTTGTTGTTTTCCTTTTATGTTGTGTTATGTTACGCTATGATGTTAACTGTTGTGTTATATAATGTTATTTTATGTTATGGCATGTTGTGTTGTGTTGTTTTCTATTATATGTGATGTTGTTTTCCTTCAGGTGAATTCAGGTAACCTGGGACATTTTTGCAAATTTGATTTTGTGACCTATTCCGATATCTGTTTTATACATTAGGTCAACATGTTATCCCTTCTGTAATCCTTAAGATGTTTTCTAACCACACCGGATGAAATAATGAAAATTACTCAGAGGAGACATGGCACAGTTACACTTATAGGGGTTACAAATTGTGCCAAAATTTGACTTAAAAAAAAAGCCCAAATCACTTTTCTTTATGCACTTCAAGATCAATATTACCCATTTTTAAAATGCATTTCGAAAAATGACTAAGAAAATGAATGAGCAAATCTATATTATTCATATAGCCTAAATACAGAAACTTGAAAAATTAATTTAAAACATTCTCTCAAAGGTCTCTTTTTGTTTTTACTTCAGGAAGTCCCAAAGTGCATATTTCCTCCATTTAGAGAATTTAAATGAGTGTCCCAGATTACCCAAAGCATGCAGTCCCACATTACCAATCATGTTTGATAAAGTGGGACGACTAAAAAACTAATCACACAACAATAACTCAATGAATATTTTGTTGCTTGAACTCATCACAAACATAATTTGATAACAATTATGAACATTGTCTAATTTATTTATGATTCATATCCTTTACATTAATCTTGTCAGAATCCTGTCACTGACCTTGTTGTGCAATCAGAAAATGAAGTCATGTGATTTCAGTCACATGATATCCGTGCTAACCTATAGTGAAAGTCCTGTTGACCAGATTTTGTTAGAAGAGGATATAAACAGACTGAAGCTTTGATGTGCCACATTACCCAATGTCCCAGATTACCCGAATGTTGTGTTACATTATGTTATATTGTGTTATATTATGTTGTGCTATGCTATGGTATGTTATGCTCTGTTGTTTACTGTTGTGTAATGTAATGTCACTTTACGTTGTGTTATTATGTAAGGGGTTATGTTGGTTTATGTCATGTTGTGTTGTGTTATATTATGTTAGGTCAAGTTATAAGGTCAGTTTATTACGGATCCTGTTAAGTCATGAATTCTGTATTGTCTAATGTCATATAATTATGTGTTGTTACGATGAATGTATTAAATTAAGGCATATGAGGGTATAGTAGGTTATGTCAGATTCGATTGTTATGAATCATATGCATAGTGACGTTATGTCAGTTGTGTTACCTTTTGTCAATTTGGGTTATACTGTATTTTGTTTTTATAGATATATAACATACAAGCGGACAATCATTGTCACTGCAGCCAATTTTTAAAGAAATAAGCTATACAATGTGTAGCCCTAATGTATAGACCAGAATATCTTATTGCCAATTGTACATAGTGTGTGTGTGTTTGTGTGTGTGAGTGTGTGTGTGCGTGTGTGCCATACACTTACATTCTATTTTCCCATCAGAGTTTGAAATGGGTAACTGCTGCTGGCCACCCGTCGGCTCCCCTTCCTCTCTCCTCACACTCCTGTCATTTGTCTCAGACTCACAAGTGAAATTCCTCGCACACTGTCCCACGGTCATCCATGTGGAGAGCTGAGGCTGATTCTGAACAGCTCCTGTCTCCGCCTATGTGGCAGTGCAGCTTTTAATGGACTTTCACAGCAGTGTCATTGTAAATGTTGCATGTCGACATGTGTGCTAATGGTAGCTCCAGCCTCTCTCCTGGGAGTCCTTACTGGACAGTTTGGGAGGTGAAAGATGCTGGTTGTGTTAGATGCATGGGGGAGGGGAAGGTGCAACCTTTCAGCTGCTGGCTGATGGTCAGTGGTTGGTCGGCGCTGCACCGCTGGCAGGAGTGGATATCATGTTTTAAAGGGCAACAATCTCCTCGGGACAGCTTCAGTCAGAAGCTGTATGTAAATGCTGTACTTTTTCTAAATCAGGCTGACACTATGAGCTGAGTGCTGACCATAGACACTGCCCATGACATTTTTATCTTTTTCATTTGTGTGTGTGTTTGAATGTGAGATGAACTATACCCACTATGTGTGTGCTTGTGCTGGGCTAACATTTCTACGTGTTCAGTGCGTATGTGGTCATATAAACGTGTTTGTTTGCTGTGGGCGGCAACGTGAATGTGTGTCCCGTCGATCTCTGTGAGCTGCGGCTCGTGTGGCTTATCTTCTCTTATGAAGAGTAAGAGAAAGAAAAGTGCTCACACTCGGCAATACCTCTACTAATCTTTACTTATACTACAGTGCCCCATATCAGCTCAATGCAGATTATCTCCGGATCGCAGGGCTGCAAGTAATGATTTCTTTCATTTTTAATTACTCAAGCAGTTATATGACAACAGCACATTTAATGGTTTTACTATGAAAAGATGGCATCACATATTATAAAGGTGTAAAGCAAATAAAGAAGTACAGTCCCAAACCACTAGATATTCAGTTTACAATGACTTAAACCAGAGAAAAGATTTTAATTATCATGTGTAAAAATCTTCAAAAAGCAAATGTTTGTAATTTTCTGCTTTATGGCTGAATTACAATCAAATTGTTGCTGATTTATGTCGGAACATTGAGTAATCAAGTGAAATCACTTAAGAACTGGGAGAAGACTGATCTCCTGCATATGTTCCCACATGTGTTTTATATTAACATGCTCTGAGTCCTGCAGCACATTGAGCCATGAGCTCACTGGAGTATGTGGCACCACAGGAAAATGTGGATGAAATGATAATTAACAGATGTCCAGAATTTGTACGATGGTGGAATTTTCTGTTAATCTTAATGTAAGATTCAGTGTGTCTGTTTCCGTCATACGTATCGTGTGATCAGGGCAGTTGTCCTCTTCCCCTCTCCAGGTAACGACCTGTTCTTGGTTGCGGTTCACGAGTTGGGCCACGCCCTTGGTCTGGAGCACTCCAACGACCCCACTGCTATCATGGCTCCTTTCTACCAGTACATGGACACAGAGAACTTCAAACTACCTCACGATGACCTGCAGGGCATCCAGAAAATCTATGGTAACTCTCCACTTTATACATTGTAGTATCTGTCTTTAGTCTGTAAATCAGAGATTATGTGGAAGTAACTCTTTTCTGCAATAACAACACGTCTGTATTGCTCCAATATCCTGAAGCTTTGAAGCAACTTAATCACAATTACAAACTGCTGCTGCATTAGTTACATCGGGCTGAATGGAAGAATCATTTGTCATCTGTTAAATAGGCCAGCCAATACTCATTCTCAAAACACCATGAGTCAGCTAACACAGCTCAGAAGAGTCATCTGTGATAAATAAGTTTCAAGCTCAAGTTACAAGTTAATTATTATACTGCAAACACCAATACTAATACTTCAGACATTAAGTTAGATAAAAGCCCAGCAAGTGAATAAAATAAATAAAATCATGTTTTGTTTCTCTTTAGGTCCACCAGACAGATCACCGCAGCCTACCAGGCCCCCACCCACGGTCCAGTCGCCTCGCTTCCACCCTCCCTCGGACCCCCGCAAGCATGACCGCCACGCCAGACCCCACCGCCCTCCACAAGGGGCCAAGCCCTCCAACCCCAACTCCAAACCCAACATCTGTGACGGAGGCTTCAACACCCTGGCCATCCTGCGACAGGAGCTTTTTGTGTTCAAGGTAGAGGAGATCATCAGACTATGATGATGATGAAGATGATGATGATGATGATGATGATGATGATGATGATGATGATTCCTTATCTTTTTCAATAGGACCAATGGTTCTGGAGGGTTCGGGATAACTCGGTGGTCCCTGGTTACCCCATGCAGATCAACTACTTCTGGAAAGGCTTGCCTCCCAAAATTGATGCCGTCTATGAAAACAGTGAAGGGAAATTCGTATTTTTTAAAGGTAATAAAAACAAGATCAATAATTCTTATTCAAATGTAGCATGTTGAGTTTTTAACACGAGTAGAGCTAATGGTTTTAGCCAGCGCCAAGAAACACGGCAAAGTACCAAAAAAGTCTTTAACAAGTAAACATGGACGTAAAAAGCAGCAATGCAATGAAATGCATTCAACACATTCAACTGACTTCGTGTATCCCCATTTTTAATTCATTAGAAAGTGTGAACTCTTTAATCATATATTAATATTTTGTCATATAGCAATATACATACGTACATACAGCCCTGACTGTGAGGTTGTATATATATATCACTATGACTGTGAGGTTGTTTTTTCCTTCTCCACGATAACAGAGCGGGTACACGTCTGGTACAGACATCCGTCCATCAGGCAGATTAACATGACATCTGTCACCCAGTGGGATCAGAGTGCCTCATGCTTTATTTATTCACTCAGGGGGACTTAACTGTGTGTTGTGTGTGCATGTGTGCGTGCATGTATGTGTGTCTAGCTACTTACTGGGAGGACACCACCACAGCAGCTCTCCTCAAACTGCCTCAGGCACTTCTGATCAAACTGAATTAAAGGCAACAATGGCTTCAATAAAAAACAACAAGTCTCGGCGGAGATGCCTTCAGAGCATCATCTGGCTGTTTATTGTATTATAGATAACACAGCATAGATTTCTTGCTGCAAAGGTATTTTGTGAACAAGGTGATACACCTGACCTTTGAAATCATGTGAATAGAAACAAATAAACTCACACAGAAGGTTGGAGCCGGCAGTGCATTTGCAAAAATACCAAAAAAAAAATGTTTTTGAGGTCATCTTTATGATAATGTCTTTGTCCCAGAGCCTCCTAATGCTGCGTGTGTGTGTATTTTAGGAAACCGTTTCTGGGTCTTCAAGGACACAACTCTCCAGCCTTCGTACCCTCAGGACATCTCGCTGTTCGGGAGCGGCATGCCCACTCAGAGCATCGAGACAGCTGTCTGGTGGGAGGATGTCGCCAAAACCTACTTCTTCAAAGGAGACAGGTCTGTGTGGAATGATTATTAGTGCTGTCATGAAGTGAAGCACTGGGGCAGAACTGTAATCAGCACTCTGAGCACCATTCCAGTCTTTTGTTAACACAGTAAACTATGTTAGCAGATGACATTTCACAGCCCATTTTAATCTGGTTTTGTAAGTATGATAATTTTGTATATTTGTCTCTGCCTTCTCCTTCGTTCCCTGTTTACTGATGCAATGTTTGTCTGTTTGGACAAGCTTATGATTTTTGGGCTGTTGCCCATGAAATGCTAAATAATAAGACATGTGTGCATCTTTAATTACGGCATGGATAATTTGGTGTCCTTGCAGATCCGTAAACAAGTTGCTGATGAAACCAATGATTACCTCTTTAAAGGAGACATATTAGATTCATATTCAGGCTCATAATTTTAATTTGGGTTATTATTTAAAAATGTTTACATGCTCCAATGTTCAGAAAACACCACCTACTACTCAATGCTTGGTTTTAGCTCCTGTCCATTGAAGCCCCCCCCCCCCCCCCCCCCCCCCCCGATAAAGTTCCCTATGATTCGCTCCGCTCTTGTTTTACCTCGCTTTTTTAGGAGGCGTTCCAGACTAGCCTTTAGGTAGCATTATGCTAATATGGGGCGTCAAGACGTCACATGACTGTGATATATAACTGTGAATTGCTGCTGCTCCTCTTTTCAACCTCTGTCTGAAACACTTGGTTTTAGCTCCTGTCTTTAAGGCTCTCGCTGATGAAGCCAGTCTCTGATTGGCTGGTGTGTGTGTATAATATTTCTCCTTTAACAACCGATAAATTCTGTTGTTATCACCCAGTGTTGGACCATCATTGGGAATGAAGATTATGTTACTTCAGAGTTTTAAGTCCTTTTCTGTCAAGTATTTATATGAATGTGTGTGAATGTATTGAATTATTCATGGCTGCAGTCATTCACCTGCAGTTGGAAGTGAAATCGTTCCAAAACAGCCACATCAGAGAATCTGTTGTTTATCTTTCTGCTTCGCAAGAGTGCTGAAGTTTGACGGAGTGCCAGTGTGACTCACGTGTTTGTTCAGCTGTCATGATAAATCATATCCAGAGAGGTCAGGGGACCCTGTGGTTAAAGCTGACAAAATGCCAGGTCATGATACTGTCATCCCTCAACCTGCTGCTGCACATCACGACCAACAGGACATGATGATTTCTTTTTCTGGAAGAAGGGCATTTTTGTCTAACATAAAGAAATGAAGTTATATGCAAAGATGTGCGTGTGTATGTGTGTGTGTGAGCAGCAAGCGAGAAGATGTGTGATCGATCACAGTAATCGGTAAAACAAATGTGTGGCAGCTGAACAGTGTGGAGCATTGTTTGACCTGCTGCCGTGTGACTTCAGTCAGTTGCTGATCACAACATGACCAGATAGAGATCAGAGGCGGTTGTTTTACATGTGGCCACAAGGTTCAGCAGATACAGACAAGTCCAGTGCAAAGTGAAATTTTGTCCTTCTACAATATGAAGATATGCAGATAAAGAAAAGATATTAATTTCCTGCTGCATCACAGAGCTCAACAGGCTTTAATAAACTTTTCCTGTAGAGTAATGACTACATGCTTGGTCACTGGTTAATTAAGAGTCGGTTCTTTGTAATTTTCTCTGCCGTTTAAAAGCATCAGACACCACAGCACCTCAGATATCACCATACTGTTGCTGTGGAGTCGAGCTCAACTGATATATCGGTTTTGCCGATATAGATGTTAAAGTTTGGCAAAATGCGGCGATGTGATTTTTTTTTTTACAGAATAAACAATGCAGAAAATATCAGATTTTTCTATTTTATGTTTATATTTAAAAAAATATATTTTCTCAATTGAAGGTCTATATATGTGGGTGAATTTGTGTTTAATGGTCATATATATTAATGTTTATAGTAAATCTGTAAAATCACATTTCTTATAAGGGTTCGATAACAGCATTTTAGGAATCATTGCCATTTCTTTTTTTATTGGAATATTTTTACACCCTAATATCAGTATTGACAAGGCTCTATTTTTTGAGGGCACCAGTGTTAAAAAACGCAGGTCATGTAGCTGTTGTTCATATTTCTGTGTGACAGAAATTATACATTCTTGCAAAAATGCAAAAAACTATTATTCCCTCCTGGATGGTATATTTTTCAATGTATACTCTGTTTTGACAGCTGCACTCTTTCTGTCTCTCTTATTGTAGATACTGGAGATACAATGAGGATATGAGGACCATGGACCCAGGTTATCCCAAACCCATCACCATCTGGAAGGGCATCCCTGACTCTCCACAGGGGGCTTTTGTGGACAAGGCCAACGGTATGTGTTCACTTGACTGATTTAAAAACTAGTTAGTGATACTGGAAATACTGGAAATATCATTACATTACCATAGTGACTTGCAAAAGTTTAATCTTTGATAAAGGTATTTGCCAAATACAGTTAACGTCAGAGGTTGTGTTTGGCATTTGAAATTATTATTTTAATTCTGAATGCAACGAGATGTAGGCATGTGTATGTTTTCCAGATTAAATGTTCAAGACCATAAAAAATGTTTGTTCATATCAGTTATTGGAGGTTGGATCATCTGCACACATCAACAAACACTTTCTTTCTTTGTTCTGAGATGTGTATAAGTAAACGTGTCCCATAATCCCTCTCTCCAGGCTACACCTACTTTTACAAGGGGAAGGAGTATTGGAAGTTCAACAACCAGCTGCTTCGCGTGGAGCCCAGCTACCCAAGGTCCATCCTGAGGGACTTCATGGGCTGCGACGGCCTCCCCGCAGACCCCGACTGGGACTGGAGCCCCCCGGCGGCAGAAGAGCGCCACTACGACAGCGGCGACGTGGACGTTGTCATCAAACTGGACAGCGTGGGGGGCACGGAGAAAGCAGTGGCCATCGCCATCCCCTGCGTCCTGGCGCTGTGCATGATGGTCCTCCTCTACACCGTTTTCCAGTTCAGGAGGAAGAGCACGCAGCGCCACATACTGTACTGCAAGCGCTCCATGCAGGAGTGGGTCTGAGGATCTGACTGTTGCATAGGGAAGGATGTGAAGCTCTGTTAAAGGTCTAGTTATTGCTCGAAGCCCTAAGTACTGTAATTGGAGGCACTTTAAAGGGTGCAGTACGTGAGGATTGCCATGTTGGCAGATTTTAAAAATTGCTTTCACGGAAAAACGTGCAGGCTGTAAGGAGGCAAAACGATCAGCAGAACTCAACTGAACACAGTGAGGGAGCCACTTCTCCTATGTCCAGCTAATATGTATGTATCTGCTTTTTTCTGTATCTTGGAATGAACTCAATTAAGTGAGACAGAGTTAAGCTCCTGTAAGTGGGACCTTTGTCTATCCTCATCTCTGCACGTCGCTTAAAAAGCCCCTAGCACTAACTTCAGTGGACAAATTAGATATAGGCTTCTTCTTTACCATTTCTTAATTAAAAAGCCCTGAGCTCTGCTTTTTTTTTTTAATTTAGGGTCCCTGTAAAAGATGATTTATTGTGTGGAGGACTGATACACAAACCAAATATGACCTTTTCTTCCAAAGAGGATTACTGCTCGATGTTGTTTTTTTGATGGGATATTTTTCCTCCACGGAACGAGCATTGTGGCATCATGCTCCGATTTTCTTTTTTTGCCATTTCTATTCATATCCACCCGTCTGCTCTGTAATCTGTGGGGATGGGAAGCAGCCGTTAGTAAGAGGTGGGAACTCAAGACGGTTGTGGCGGTCTGTCTCCAAAACAGGGGCCAAAAACCTCTCTGCAATATTAATGAGACTGCCTTAATCACAGATTGCTTAAACTCCCCTTCTCTTTCTCTCTCTGTTTCTCTGGTGACGGGGGACCGAGCGACGCAGCAGGAATACAAACAAAATATGAAGGCGTTGATCAGATCCCATAATGCAACTTGACAACCAGTGGTTAAGGACAGTTTGATCCACCATTGCTCCATTGCTTTTAAAAAAGCTGTGCTAAATACTGCGTGGCGTTCACTGGAGGGTGTGAGAGAGACGGCGAAGGTTAGTTGTGTGCGCGTGTGAAAGGGAGATTAATTACCCACATTATATATGTACTGGACTCTGGTGTCAGTTATTGAACAGCCAACATCCTGCTTCCCTTGCTTTCCTGCCAGGTTTGGATGCTTATACTCCAAACAAGTCTCAGTCCGTGGGTCTTAAGCAACTTTACTGATCCATATTTTGTTTAGTTTTCGATTTTCGTACAAAGTTTTGTAAGTTTACATGATACTTGACATCGCACAGGACAAAGTGAGGAGGAGGAGAAAAGGAGAGGAAAAAAACGATAGGTGTCCATTTTCCCCCCGTTTTTTAAATAATAGAAGAAAATCCACTCTGCATATCTAGTTAACAGCAGCCAGTGCTTTTGCTCAGTTGCTCCATCTTTTCACCAAGTTTTATCAAATAATTCTACTTTTCGAGGAACTATAAAGCAAAATAATTATTGTAAAAAAAGACAAAAAGGAAAAAAAAGTCTAAACACTAAGATGAATTAATCAGTATTAATAAAGAAAATTAATTAAACAACATAAAACTGGTTTTGGTGGCATGATCAATAATTGGACCAGGGTATTTTATGCACTGTAATGACAATTAACCGCCATACTAAAAATACACATACATTAATTAATTACTAATAAATATCTATAGAACTACTCTAACATTGCTGATATTTACAGACGTATTGGAAAAACAAAACCAGCAAAATCTTTTTTTGATTTCGCACATATATATCATGTAATATGACGTTACACATATATATCATACATACAGTATATGTTAACAATTTATCAGGTAAGTATGAACGACAACATGGTAGATTTTATATCTGAGGTGAGATGGAGCTAAACTGAGCAGAAGCTTTTTCTCTCCCCATGTATTCTGATAAATGCAGCGCACAGCCTGGATCATCATGAAATATATTGTGTCGTTATTGCCTTTGGTTGCCTAGCATACATGTAATGAGAGCCCCCCCCCCCCAGATAACGTGTCTGTGAGAGTTCATGACATGATTTGTTTTATATCTGTGCTCCATGGTTCTTTTAATTCTTTTACTTGAAAATGGTCACCGGACATCAGCGGCAGGATATCTGACGTAAGCTTCCGTTGAGATTAAAGCAACACTAAGTAGCTTTTTACTGAGCAACAGCGCCCTCTGCAGCCACATGTGTTAAAATATGTTGGGCTCCGTGTCTGAGTGATTCATTGATTTTAATGAAAACGAAAAACAAAGTATGAGGTAAAACTCCATAAACTGAAACACAAGTAAATGGTGGACAATAGCCATGATGCCTCGCTGAATATTGGAGATAAATGCTGTTTTTTAATTCATTCTAAGTCTTTTTTAACTGATCTACAGCTCGGCATTATTCTTGAGATTGCTGGGTCTGATTCTGGCAATTTAAGCTGCGGCTATCAGTCACAAATCTCACAAGAGATCATACCTGCCCATTCAAGTAACCTATTGGTGAAGGGGGTGGAACGTCACCATGCAGCTATTTTAAGGTAAATCAAAAAAGTTACATGGTGTTGCTTTAAGTCAATGCCATCGTAGAACATATCAGAGAGGAAATCTGAGTCAGTGGTTTGAAGTTATCAATGTTGTTTTCTCTCATCATCATTTATTAGGGGAAGATACCTAAAAAGTAAAAAAGGGCAATGCATGTCATTGTAAACTAAGATGTCACACTGACGGATCATCCGGACGCTATTGTACTAGTCAGTCTTTCTCTTTGTGGTCAAATAAAGTGACTGGTCAGCGTCGCAGGTTCCTGCCTGTCATCTGTTACTGGCTTCCAGTCTGTTCTCCCCCCACTTTCGATCTTCAGGCGATTCTCAAAGGGAAGTAAACATTTAAAAAGGAAGGTGCTGAAATGCTGTGCATTAAGGTGGAAACACAAAACCTTTGGCTCAGTGTCATACGGACGTCTCATATGAGTTTGTGTGTTTGTGGTCCGGGGTCTGATGGCTCCATCGAGTGTGAGTTAAAGACGGCCAGTGAGGCGAGTCCGTACTGTATTTATTGCTGTATTTATTCATCTGTGCTCAGCACTTCAGATCTCAAGAAACCGCCAATAAAGTTTGTTTGAAATGCAATGATTTTTTTTCCCCTCACTGCTACAGAGTAATCCTCCTCCTTCTGTTACTGCCTCAACAAACAATTCACCTGGTGTGAATGTTTATTTCCATCACTGAGAGGTAAAACACATTTACATTGGTCCTTTTGATACTTAAATCCACCTCCGGCATTTTAAATGTGGACTTAGGTGTAAGCGTGAAGTCTCAAGGCTCCGACCCCGTCCTCCGTTCATCGCCAGACTCTTCAGTGCTTTCTGTGTTTGCCTTGACTCATGCTGCTAAGCAGTAGGGCTAACCTGGAGTGTCGTTAAAGGAAGTAGATTGGGCTGAATAGACCGAGGTCGATACACCAGAGAGGCAAGGGTGCAGAAGAATGAGCGATTTTGCAGATGAGCTCTTATACACGGACTCGTGGTGCGTGCACTCCGAGGCATAGTGTCTGAGAAATGAACATGAGATGTACATAAACACAGAGTGTATACTGTCTGCTTGGGAGAGTTTTGTTTTTAATCCATCATGATCCATGGATAAAGAAAATGCTGTGTGTTGTAAATAAAACAAGTGCATAACGAGAGTGTCCTGTATCATGTTCTCACACGTGTTCCTTTACAATACCCTTCACTTGGTTTGCATAAGAACAACACTGTCATGGTAAAGTTCAGCATGAAAGTAAAAGACTAACACATGAGGCAAATTTCCTCGAGCAGTGTCACAATAACAGAGACCCCAAAAATGAAAGGTTCAGTATGTAGAAGGTTAGTGCTGATGTCTTCAAGAGAAACATTGTCTTGTTCCACATCCTTTGAGAAGCTTCCTGACTGGGTCAGTCCACGTCCTGTTTGAGGAACAATAGATACAAATGTGCCACAGTATAGGTCATAAGCCAAGCCTTCTCCAGGTTAGTGGATGGGACATGGACCGTAGTAAAGAATATCAAACGTCAAATCCATTTTTGTCAAACGTGGAATCTGTCCTTTTAGGTCATCACACTGATGTGATTTTTTTTAGGAACACTTTGTGGATATGTTCCAGAGTCAAGGGTTATGTGCTTAAGATGAGCAGATGAGAAAACCCCAACCCTAACCCTCATGAGAAGAACACACAGCAACAGAGCTTGGACATCGTAGTCTTATAGCTGGTGGTGGGAAATTTCAACCCCTTTTTTAAATAAGGAGAGTGAGAATGCTTTGGTGCTTGAGGTGTGGCCAACTAGACGGCTTGTGATGACAGATGCATCTTATAGCTTCATCCGGGGAACCTTGAATTTGATTACTGTCATTTACCCTGAAAACTTCCTTAAAGAACTTGTGAAACAATAAAACAAGGAGTTTAAACTCAGCCACTGGAAATCATTGCATCTTGTGAAACCCCCCACCCCCCCACCCCCTAACCCCCCCTGGTCAAACAAGCAGAAAACACACCTTAAACAGAAACCTGGGATCTCAGTTGCTTTTTACTGAAGTCATGAGTCAAAATAGCATGACTGGCCATGCTGCATTTTCAGCGTCTTTCATCCCTACGCCATGACCGACTTTGTGTGCTTCATCAATTAGGAACAAATGACCCTCCATCCATTCAACAATGAATTATCTGATGCTTATTCAAGCTCAGGTCACGCTAGGAGCAAGTAAAACAATGTGCCTTCACCAACTAAGACGCTTTGCAAAGGAAACCGACTCTTCTACTTTAGATTTTGCTTAATTTTCAAAGTTATATTCTAGTTTAATATCTAATTCACTCCTGATGCTGCAGAGATCTGCTTGTATATACAATACACCATATAGCAGCAGCTTGTGCAGCCTCAAGGGGAAGGCCATCATTCACCAGTAGTTTCCTGTGACATCAGACTTGCAGGCTCGATATGAAGTCGTCTACAAAGAGCTTTTAGCATCTCAGGCCTGTTGTAGTCTTAAAGTCTTTATGACATAAGTGAAGAGTTAAGCACTTTTCTCTGAAGACGCAGCGGGAGTCACACAGAAACGTGATCACCCAGATCACAAGATATATAAGTGACTGCATGGTAAAGAAAAGACGTGCGTGAAATCACGTCCTTCATGAACGACGCCTGATGATCAGTTGACCCATTGTTCCTTTGTTAATCAGTGAGACAGATTAAAGAGAAGAGGAGCAAATGTTTGTCAGTGTGGTTGGTTCGTCCAAATGTAAAGTAAAAAAAAAGAAAAGAAATGTTAATGTCTTCAAAAATATTTTAATTTTCTACTTTTTTATTTGACTCACCCATAATTAGATGTTTGCTTCTCTGCCCTGATAGTCTCCAATAGTGGTGAACTAAGCTTCTAATATTAAAGAGACTTATTACAAAAGACAATAACTTTTTATTTAAAAATGTGTCTCTGATTATTCTTTCATATTATGTAACTATTGAGTCATTCATGGACACAGAATTAGATGAAATTAACCCAGATTATGATTTTCTGGGGGAATTTAAAATTAGGCTTATTGTGATAAAGCTCAGAGCAATCAACTTCTACCAAATGTTGTCTCTCACGATCATGATCTGTTACTGTTAAATCATTTCAGATAAAATAATATCCAAATAAATAACCCAAATTGTGGTTTTGGTGAATATCTGCCAGATCCAAATTAAGATATTTTTGTGTTTGAGTTAAACAACAGCTAAGGGTAAAGTAATCACCACAAGACCACGGAGTGACTAAATCAAATCAATTTTCAGCATCATCACTGACTGTCTTGTATAAATGGGCTCGTGGGGGGACTCACCACTCACACCACTCACACCACTCTCTGCACAGCTGAAGGAAACCTGTTCCAGTCGTGACCATGAAGACTCTGCTGCTGGCCTCTGCTCTCTTTACAGGACTCCTCTTTGCAGGCTCCTCGGCTGCAGCCCCTGTCTCCGTCACTCCGGCTCCCTCTCTGTACCACGCCTTCTGCAGAACACTGTGGTGAGTGGAGGATTTCTGAATTGGGAGGATTAGAATGTTTTATTTCACGTTTGAAGCTTGAACGTGTCCAAACTGTGTCGTTTCCTCTTCTCCTGCAGGCTCTTTGCAACACCCTGTACTGATATCGCCACCACAATGGTGATGCAGATTAAAGCTCTCAGCCCTCTGGCCGGCTGCGACGTTTGTCAGTATGAGGTAATTCTTCTTCTCGATGGATAGAATTACAATAAACAACATACTGTATACATTGTGTAACAGCAACTTGCTTTCTTTTCTAGCTTGTGTCCGTCACCCCTCGTGCCATCAAAGCCAACCACACCTCCATCGATGGGCTTCAGGCTGAGACAATAACCTTCAACTTCAGTCCCACTGTAATGACTGGCGGCTGCCGTGTCACTGTGAGTATCAGTTGCATTCAACTTTCAACTGACTTCTATTAAATAAGGACAAACAGTTGACTGACAAAGACATGTTCACCTCTTTTAAATCATGTATAAACAGTGTATAAACTATAAGTTGGTGTAGTGTTTTCATACCTGTTTTGGTTTTTTTCCACCAGGCCCAGTCCACTTCTCTTGGATTCACCAGCCTCCTCGATGACGGCCTCAACTACTGCAACCTCCGCGTAGTGTTGTCAGGTGAGCGAACAACTCCACATTGTTTTATGTCTTCTAAAGGAAACTCTGAACTACAGTAGCTTAAATATTCACCTTTTTTGGTGCAGTTTTAATAGTTGTTTTTTTTGGGTATAAATGTGCACCTAATTTCCATCCATGTTTCAATTCTAGCGAGTGGACTCTCTAAATCACCAGGCTTCATGGAGATGACCAATGAATGGGCCTGCCTCGGCTACGGACTTGCCACCTGTAAAGCCTAACAAGCTTCAACTTTAGATAAAGTTTTTCTCCTTAAGCCTGGATGTCTGTGATAGTTTATGTAGTAAAATATGCTGCAGACAAATTCATTTTGTACCACAGTGAAAATATCAATAAAAAGGTTGAAATCATATTAGCTCTCTGGTGTATGTGTGCTTCAATATTCTAGAACTGAGCTTGGAAAGGGAACCATCCATAATCAAGTTTGACACAGCTACATTTGTTGAATTTTCCTTTCTTATAATTCCCTTTACTTTTCTAGTAGAAAGAATATCAGTGTTTGTTAAATCACAATAATCCCAAAGCCCTTTCCAGATCCACTGACCCAATGAGGGTGGGGAAAATAAATCAAAAATAAATTCTAGTGGCAACAATAGTTGTCTGACATGTCCGTCAGGTTGGTCTCCTCTGGCTGTTTGCCTGTGAGGTCACGATCAGGGTGAAAGATATACATGTGTAGCTGTGATGTCATCACTGACAAGCATGACAAGTAAAGAAAAGCAGACGCAGAGCGTCTTTCCATTAGAAATTAACAAACGATAAAGACGAAGACAGAGTGCTCCGTTTTGGGGGAGTGATGAGAAAGACCAAGCTCATCCTCCTGAATCGTCAGGACAAATGCTCATGGACAAAGTTAATATTCTTCTGTGGAGACAATGTTGTGCAGGAAAGTTTTGTGATGCGTGAGGTCATAGACACGAAGCTGAAACCTCAGTCTGAAGTAGAACTGATGAGCTTTGTTGCCTCTGTGGAGCTGCTATTCATCCATCCATTATCCACCCCTCCATCCATTATCCACCCCTCCATCCATCCACCCCTTCATAAACTATACCACAAATCCTTTGAGGGTTGGGGGGGGTCAAACACCCATTCACACCTACAGTCACCAGCCAACCTAACCTGCATGTCTTTGGTCTGTGGGTGGAAGCTGGAGAAAACCCACACAGACATGGGCGAGAACATGCAAACTCCACACAGAACAGCCCATGACGCTGAGTACAAAGTAAAACGTTTTCAAAGTGTTAGTTTGTCTGGAAGAATTGTCACAGAGTGGATTATTGATATGGCACAAGATACTGAAATAAATCAATAGAGAACACCACAAATGTCCAGGGTTTCACTCTGAAACAACAGACATAAGAAAACACCTCCCAACGAGCCGTCGTCATGATCACTGCTGAATTTGATACGAGGGAGAAATTAATGTCTCGGTGCCATCAAAGGCCTGTTCCGCTCTGCAACTGAGCCTCAGCAAGAACCACACCTGCCGGTCCAATCCACAACCCAGTCCAGAACTCCAGGAAAACCAGTTTGATCATTTTTACAAAAATAAATTACATCATATATATATAATATACTATATTCTTGATATGTTTTTTGTTTTAAATATGAACCACCATCCCTACATCTGCCAGTCCATAGATACAGTCCCTATAACTTCTACACATTGAAATTTAAAAGTTTAGTGGTACTACTTTTCACTGAAGAAGCAGAAGTCACACTGACTGCTCCAGATCACAAGATATGTACATCCTGATATTCTGTACCATCATGTGCATGTTTGTCTGTAACTTTAAGCAGATACTGTTCATGCCTGGTGGTCACAGGAACCACATGGTAGAGAAACAATGTGCATGAAATGTAATTCTCCATGAACGCGTTAAGATGCCTGATGGTGACGCACAAGTCAGTTGCCTTATTGTTCATTTGTTGAGTTTGAAGTGATAGATTCAAGAGAAGAGGAGCACACGTCTGTTACAGGGCA